GTAACATGTAATCTCTTCAAGCAAAACAGTATGATTATAATTTAATAATAGGCAGGTTAGGGTCTTATCACTAATAATTTTCCATTAATTTACCAAAAGCAGCTATTATCTAAAGTTATTATGTTAACATTTATATTGTATATTTAACTCCCTTTTGATGTTCTATCAAACAATGTATTGTATTACTTCTATCTGAAAAATGACATGTTTTTTCCTTCCAATAGGTAGCAAACATAATTTCTGCTTTTCCTATGGCATGAAAGACTTACTTCATTAAGGCAGTCAAACTGAAGATGTTTTAGTTTATTTTTAGCATAACTCTATATTAATACAGTGGTGACTAAATAAAAAATAGAACTCTTAAGTAATTATAAAACCTTCAGTTAAAAAGTTTTATAAAGTTAATTCAATTTAAATATTTTTTAAAGACAGGCTTTAAGCGCAGGCTAGCAGTTATGGTCTCTGCACTAGAATATCACCTTTTATGACTACTTCAAAATTTGAGTTTAAACTTTTGAACAAGCGATACCTAGGAATCTGCTATCTTGCTTCAAAGCGACTCTGGTCAGTGTACTTGTGTGACTTTCCTCTCTCTACTGTTGGGCTTAGTTTCTGGAAACATCAGTTTTGTAGTACAGTTAGTCAGAACAGCTGTATTGAAAAAGAAAAGGGCTTTTCACTAATGAAGCCAATGTTAAAAATGTGACTTGAAGATCCAAAAATTCTAGCTCAGATTACCCTAATAACTTTCATGCCAGTAGTCAAAACACAACTACTATTATGATTAAACAATTTAGTTACTGCTAAGGTAATTTTTAAATGAACTCTATCTATTCATAAACCATGATCATAAGCAATTTCTAACATTTACAATAAACAGACCATAAAATTCTTGAGATATGACATTTATCTTCAATTACAATGATATTCTCTAAGCTACTTATTAAAGAGTCTGGAAACCCTTGGGGGTTTCCAAGACATGTTTGGTGCCTTAAAACTGAAGCTATTCTCATGACATTAAGAACTTACTTTTGGCTGGTTGGTGGTGGCAGCGCACGCTTTTAATTCTGGCACTCGGGAGGCAGAGGCAGGTGGATCTCTGTGAGTTCGAGGCCAACCTGGTCTACAAGAGGTAGTTCCAGAACAGGCTCCAAAGCTACAGAAAAACCCTGTCTCAAAAAACCAAAAAAGAGGTTACTTTCTTTTTACCAAGTCAGTTTTTCACAACTAACTGTACATGGAACTTTTTATACCTTCCTGATGTTAGCATGTAACAAGTCACATTATTTATAAAATTAAAAACATTTATTTACTTTATTTAATGTGTACGAGGGGTGATTTTTTCTTTGCTGCATGTATATATGCATACCATGTGTACGCCTGGTGCCTGCACTGGTCAAAAGAGGGTACTAGGTCCTCTGGAAGTAGAGTCATGGAGGTTGGGAGTCATCAAGTGGGTGCTGGGAAACAAACTTGTGTTTCTGAAAGAGCAGTAAGTGCTATTAACTACTAAGCCACCTTTCCAGCCCTGAATATACAGATACTTTAATAGTCTCTATTACTTAAAAAAACCTACTATTATATTTAACAGCTAAAACTAGTGTCTGATGTTTATTTGTTTATAAAATGGTAAATACTACCTCAAGTCATATAAATAAAAGCTTTTTGGAATTCTCCAAAATGTAAGAGTATAGTAACATAGACTACGCCTAGTGGACGTATTTCAGGCTGGCTTTATGCCTGAAATCAGTTGGACAATACAATTAATTACCACTGGATACACTATAGGTGCACAGTATACATCTTTAAAGACTTAGCACTATATGACACTAGAATTGTGGTTAAAAAACTATTTCAGAGATGGTTCAGTGGTTAAAAGTGTTTGCTATTCTTTTAGAGGACTGGACTTCAGTTCTGAGCACCCACACCAAGCAGCTCACAATCTCCAGTAACTTCAGCTGTAGGGGATCTAAAATCCTTTGCTGGCCTCAGTGGGCACCTGCATCCATGTGTACATACATCCACACTCACACATATACAAACAGAACAAAACCCTATTTTACAGGACTGGGTATGTAGCTCAGTGGCCTTGTGTAAAGCTCTAGGTTCAGTTTCCAGAGCAGCCAAGCCAAACCAAAGCCTGATCATAAAACTTAGTAATACTTGAAAATGTATTATAAACTGGAAATATACTCAATTTTTTTATATTTAGTTATTTTTGCAAGCTTGCGCCACAATGAGTGGGTGAAGCTCAGAGGACAGCTTGCAGGAGCCAGTTCTCTCCTTTATTTGTGGGTCTCCATGATTGAACTCAGGTCATCAGGCCTGAGGATTAAGTGTTTTTTACCTGCTGTGCCATCTTACTGGCCTCTAGAAATACATAATACTAAAATAGTTTTCAATCATTTTATTGTTTTTGGGGGAACAAGATAGTTTTACTTCAACTATAATCAGGAAAAGTAGATTTCAAACTGAAATCTGACTGCAGTTTGTATGTTTTTTTAATGAAACACAATGTAACAAGCTTTCGAAAATGATGTCAGGAAAACAATCTGGTTATGTGCCTAAAAGGAAGTGAAAAGTTTTAGACATAGTAACTGTTAAGTTATAAAGCCTTGCTAAGGAGGTCTTCCCAAATTTGCTTTCTTTTCTCATCAATGCTCTTTATTTCATATCATAAACCATTCAACTTTTTTTGTACACAGTAATCAAGGAAACATGTTACTTTATGAGACTTGATTATTCTGCAAAGGGTTTATCTGAATTAGAGTATACTAATTTTAGAAGACCAAAGTACTAAGTAAACACCCTGTCTCTTTTGAATCAATACAGTCATCTGGAAAGCATGTTCTAACCATTCAGACTGCCCAGTGAAAACCTTGAGAAACAGAGACAATCTGAGGAGATTGAAACACTAACATAGCATCTTCCAGCTTGAGTATTAATGTAAATTTTTTTGCAAGGAGTATGAAATTGTTATTATTATAAACACATTTTTAGGCTTTATATAAAATATAAAGTAGGTATACTTTGAGAAAATCTTTGGATGCACTTTTATTATTTGAATTTTCAGGCTGAAGCTCAATTATTTAATTAAAAATCTTTGTTATAATCAAGATATACTTGATATCTGCATGTAAATACCAATCTCACCAGAATTGATAAGATTTTGTGTCATCAAAATCTTATTAAGTCTTTAGATACCAGAAGCATGTATGTGATATTAAATAATAGTAGGACTCAATATTAAGGAGGCCCTAAATTACCAGAGCTGAAATCTGTCATTTTTTTCCTCTGTAGTACAACACCTATGCTTAGAAAATGAGAAAATGAAATGCTGTTATTTTTCCAGTAATGAAATATAAGGTGATGTCAGTGTGGTAGATTTGCAAACGAATCTGAAGATCTAGTCAGATAAATAGTTGTGCTCAATTTTATTTAATATTTCTGTGCACTGAGGTCCTGGAACAAATAAATTTTTCTTCTCATTAAATTTGTTGAAGCTTTGGGTATAAACATTCTAAAGTAGTGCTTGACATAGTTCCATTTTCTTTCTGAAAACATTCAGTGTGTTCATGCACGTGTGAAAGTCAGAGCACAACTTAGAGAATCAGCTCTCCTATCATGTGAGTCCCAGGAATCAATCTTAGTTTGTCAGGCTTGCTGGTAAGCACCCTTTATCTGCTGAGCCATTTTGTCTTCCTGGCCCATAATTCCAATTTCTAGGGGGGGGGTAATACACAAATGAATATACCAAGCAATACTATATATGGTAAACTATAGAAATAATAAATACTATGAGAAAGATAAGAAACCAAACTAAAATTAAAGCAACTGTAATAAATCAGTCATTTATTTGTTCAGCCATTACTGAAAAGCTATGAAGAAAATGGTTTCCAGAATGAGCAGTCCCTGCATGAGTAAGTTCTTTCCTGTGTGAGAAATGTATGTGTCACTGACTGCTTAGGGTAGGATACAGGACAAAAGCAGTAAGAAAAGAAGTTAAAAAAGAAAAAGAATGCTTGAGCTATAGATGGCTAGATATCTGAGGAATATTATTTGTTAAAAGCTATCAGAGAGGGTTCATTTTGAGCAAAGATACACAGAGAGCAGAGATGTCTCCTCAGTGATATTATTATCATAACAAAATGAAAGAAAAGACTACATTTCTTTTATAGCATGTACATTGCCACAGAGAAGGTGAAGAAATAGGCTCCTGTAATGGTTAATCTTAAATGATATCAACTTGAATGGATTTAGAATCACCATAGAAATATACCTTTGAGGACAGTTCCAGAAAGGCTTAACTATGGAGGGAAGACAAACCCTGAATGTGTACAGTACCATTTCATGGGGTGGGGTCCCAGACTGAATAAAGAAAAAGAGTGTGAATTTGAGTACTGTCATTCACGTCTCTTTGCTTCCTGACTACAGATGCAGTGGAATCAGTTGCCTGTGTTCCTGCTGACACGATTTCCTTGCTAAGATAAACAGTATCCTCCAACTGTGAGCTACAATAAGCTCTTCCATCCTTAAGATGCTGTGTATTCTGCCATAAAAATGAGAAAAGTAACTAATAGAGTGTTTAAGTGAGTGAAAGGATGTTGGTTAGATGTTGCCAGCACTGTCTGAAACACCACAAAAATGAATGTATTACATGTTACTAGAAACAGTCATTAGAATAAAAATGAGAGCAATTCTATAGTAAAATACAGTTTACCTCCAATACCTCTAGGACTGAAGTTGGTCAGAGTTACTTCTGAATTCCAGGACCTTAAGGAAGGTTGTTTCCTCCACCACTACCAGCTCTTTTCATTTGGTTTCTTCAAAAATGACAACACATTTCTATGAGTACAATCTATCTGTGGAACCATAGTTACATATTAAACTAGCTCATCTCACTTCTTGAAAGGAAGATCATGTTTGGGACAGGAGAATAAGGACTTAGAAAACGACTGTCACTTGTTCTCAGGCACCACTACAGCTCTCTGTATTCTGACCTCTTAGATCCTGCTGGGTACGAACTCCACCCATGCTCTGTCTTGGCATTCGAAGAGAAGTTCTCAAAGGAGTATGTCTCTGCTCATCCAGGTAAGCAAGGTCCTCCAAATGGGCAGAACTGGTAGCTAACAAGACAGAAAAAATATAGTTATCATGCATAAATTTAGAAAACTTAAAAAAAAATCTAGTTGCTATCATCCATACCTTTGACTCAAAGCTTACACCAGCAAAAAATAACCCTCCCGCAGAACAATATATAATTCACTTATTTAATGCCTTTAAGAAACTAAGTATTAGCCAGGTGGTGGTAGTGCATGCCTTAAACCCAGCACTTTGGAGCAGAGGCAGGCAGAACTCTGTGAGTTTGAGGCCAGCCTGGTCTGCAGAGTGAGTTCCAGGACAGGCTCCAAAGCTACACATGGAAATGCTGTTTCCAAAACCAAAACCAAACAAACAAAACACCAAAAAAATAAAACAACAAAAAACCCCAAGTATTTAAAGGAAAATTGAAATGTCACTCTACCTGATTCTTTAAGATAGGACCTCACAGATCTTATCACTTGCCAAGAGAGGTTCTATGACATTAACAAAGAAATATATTTCCTATTCAACAGAAACAAACTAGAAAGGCCTAAAATTATTACTTCAGTAAGTTGTAGATAGTGGTACAAACAATTCAGCATTTGAAAATAAGTGTTTAATATAAAATAATACTTTGCTTTTAAATGTCTGAATCATAAAAATTACAATAAATGATAATTTCTTGATGTTACTGAAAGAAACAGACTTCTACTAAAAATTAACAGGAAAATGAAACTTTGTTTTATATGAATGCTTCAACTTGGATGGAATACCAGAGTATTGGTCTTATTGTAAGAAAACACAGCTACCAACTTATCACTGATGATTAGCATAAATGTGGCAGAAGGGAAGAAAGCCCAAGGATTATCTCTTCATGACTGCTGGGCCTCAAATGTTTTGCCACAAATTTCCTATGGAGTACTTTTTGTTAAGTTGGGAATGTAGGTCCCAGTCCCTAGCATCTATCCCAGCCCCCAGGCCTGGTCTGGACTTCAAATCCCAGCAGGCCAGGTCCTGACCCCTCCCTGAGGGTGGGGTCAGGTCCCCCACTCCCTCAAGCCCACACTTCCCAATCCCCCTCCTGCAGAGCAACATCCTTTTCCCTCCCTTTCCCAATTTGGAGGTTTAAGGTCAATTTCCACCCCCCCCCCCCACTGCTCAACTCCTGGAACCCCTCTATGCACTGAGCTAGTCCCTGCCCTGCTCCCTTTTCTCTTCCAAATCTCAGGTAAAAAAGCGGCTAGCTTCCTCTTCTACTAATCGGTCTGCTTCCTCAGCCAGTATCAGATATTAGGAAAGAGTTAAAAAAAAAAAACAAAAACGTTGAGGATGGTCCCCAAACTCCTATACGGGAATTGGTGAAAATGGCCTTTAAAGTTTTTAAGGCCCGAGAAAAATCAACTGAATCTTCCCGACAGACAAAGCTATAACAATCTACAGGTCCAGGCCTTACCAGCTGCCCTAAGGTCACAGGACGGGGGACAAGGGAAGTCAATCACAGGGCTCTATCAAGTGTGGCCTAAATGGTCACATTGCACAATATTGCACTACACCTGCTCCGAGGTTGTGCCGTATCTGCCAGCAACCTGGACACTGGAAATCACAATGCCCCCATGCGGGCTTGTCCTATATGCCAAGCCACGGAGGTCCTGCCTCATCACCATGGGCAAGTGAAACTGTGCCAGCCTTCAAACGTCTCAGCCTTGCAGAGGATTGACACTGCCCATAACCCTCTCCTAGCCTGGGGTCACGCTACAAGTGGCGGGTAAGTCCATTATTTTTATTCTCTCTCGGGCCTTAAGTTTCCCTTACCAATTTCAGCTATGGGGGTAGACGGGACTAGTTCCTTCCCACTTAAAACACTGCCATTGCCCTACATTCTTGTAGAACAATTTTTCTCCTATTCCTTCTTAGTGATACCTGCTTGCCCAGCACCCTTACTGGGTGGAGATATCCTTAGCCGGTTCCCCAAAGCTTTGTTCTGCTTCTTGGAGCCCCCACCCATCTCCAAGATTCTATTTTACAGGTTTACTCCTCCTGCCAGACGTGTGCCCAGGCCAACCCACAAGGAGTTCTCCACATACACCAGCTTCATGGACACCAACAGGGCAAAGATTGGCAGGTTAATTTCACCCATATGCCTACTCATAAAAAACATTGTTATCTCTTAACACTTGTGGACACTTTTACAGAATGGATAAAAGCATTTCCAGTCTCCATGGAAACAGCAGATGCGATGACTCAGGGTCATGGAGCTAGTGTCAGAGCGCTCAACATCTCCAGGACAATGGGACTCATCAAACAATAACTAAGCAAGCTCTTCATTGAACTCAGGTCTCTCAAGCCTTGATGGACAAGACCTCACAGGACACCTGCCTTCTCATCTCCCCCAAGGAATAGCTGCCTGCCTTCTCCGGGATGACAGTTCATGAGATGCCTTTCCAGCCACACCTCTCGCTAAACGTGGACACCTGGCTCTCCCCTTCCCCACGCCGCCCCGTGCCTGCAGGAAGTAGCCAGATTTGGGTCTACGCCCTTTTGTTCCCAAAGAGAGCCTAAGTGTTTGTCATAATTACCATTCCAATTTTCTGTCACTCCTATATCCAAAAAGTCTGAAATGTTAAGTTGGGAGCATAGGTCCCAGTCCCTTGTATCAATACCAGCCCCCAGGCCTGGTCTGAACTTCAAATCCCAGCAGGCCAGGTCCTGACCCCATCCCCTGGGAGGGGTCAGGACCACTCCCCAGGGTACTTAAGTGACCCCCCCCAAAAGAAGAACAGGTGGTCTCCCTTTCTTCCTCCTGGGGGTTGTGTTTCTGTGGCTTCCCGTTTCCCCCTCAGGGTCATCCATGAGTGCAGATCTTCCATTAAACCTGGATATTTCTTAATTTGGCTTGTTTTGATTTGGCTTGATTGGGAAATTTTTTGTCGGCAGGGAGCTCGAGTTAGGAAATATTCCTAACACTTTCTATGTGAGAAATTTTATCACAGGTGAGATTTACAGACGATGATGTGCTTGCTAGTTGTCACAAGCGTGAGTTATTGGGAAGAGGGACCTCAGTTGAGAAAACACTTCCATCAGATTGCCTATAGGCAAACCTGTAGAGCATTTTCTTGATTAATAATTGATGTGTGACATCCCAGCCCATTGTGGGTGGTGTTACCCCTGGACAGGTGGTTTTGGGGAGGGGTGTATAAGAAAACAAACTGAGCAAACCAGTAGGCAGCATTCCTTCACAGCTTCTGCTTCAGTTCCTAACTTGTGTTCCTGGAATGTGACCTGAGAGCTGTAAAGATGAAATAAACTCTCTCCTCCTCAAGTTGCTTTTGATCATTGTGCTTTATTATAGCAATGAAAACCAAACTAAGACAGATGACATAGTGGTTTGCCTTGAAAGTTTTACAAGCCACTTTTACTACCAGTAATATAAATCACCTTATGTGATACTTGATTATAAATGAGTAAAAGAGGAAGCAAAAGGGGTAAAGGAAAAAGCCTAGAATTTTCTCAGCTTAGGGAAAAAAGCCCATGGATAGAAAATATAGATCATAGGAAAGCTGTTTGTGGTGACTAACCTTAGGCAATAATACTTATTAATATGTTATAAAACAAAATTGATAGTAAAAATGTCAACACAGTCTCTTAATATTTTTGCCTTTTTTTTTTTTTTTTTTTGAGATAAGGTCTCAATGTAGCCTTGGGTGGCCTGGAGCTCTATATGTAGACTGGCCTGGAGCTGTATATTTACACAATCTCATATATAAAAAAACTTAAAGTAGTGTTTTGATGCATTAGTAGCAAATATTCCAAAAAAAAAAGAAATAAAAACTTCAATCTCATTTATAACAGGCTCAAAAACAGTAAGTGAAATATCTAGGAATAATTTTTAAAATAAAGAGATAAAAAAAGCTCTACAATGAGAAACTAACAATAAAAGAAACTAAAAAGGATCCCCAAATTAGAAGGATATCCTGTGCTCACACATTAGAAGAATGGATACTGTTAAAAATGTCCACACTACTAAAGTGATCATAGATTCACTGAATCCTTATTAAAGGATTTCTTTACAGAAAATATATTACCTAACTTCAAAACACCCTATAAAGCTCTAGTAATCAACATTACATGTTTTGGCATAAAAATAGATACATAGGTTAGAGGAACAGAATAAAGATTGAAAAAAGTAGCTCTACAAGTAACTTTTAGCATAAGTGCTAAGAATACACACCAGGAAAGGAAGTTTCTTCAGCAAGTGGTGCTGGGAAGCTGGAAGTGCACAGCAGGGAAAGCACTCATTACTCACCATATGAATGAAAACAGGGCAAGGTTCCCAAACTAGAAAATCACTCAAAAACAAAATGGAGCAACCCTGAGGGAGAAGAGTTTTTGTAGAAAACTCAAAACAGAAGTACAAGGAGCCAAACAGGATTGCATCAAACTCTTCCACCCTGCTACTTGAAGCATCTCCGCCCCCAAGTAATTTTCTGAGAGAACTTTTTGTCATATTGTGTCAATCTTACCTCTCTCCCTTTGTCAGAAGGTACTCTGGTTATACTTTCTCTGCTTCTCTGACTGATCTCCCAGTCAAATCATGAGCACGGGTAGGCCTCATTCACTAAGCTGAGGGCAGCTTTGAACTCCCGACCTTCTTGCCTCTACTTTTCAACTGCTGGTATTTATAGGCATGTCTCCATACTACTTATGTACTAGGTTGTTTAGAGCAACTGGTAACATCTAATTTATTTGTGATTACCCTATTTCTTCAGACAATGAACTAAGTGTCCTGAGCATAATGCTCAGTGTTGCCCTCCTTACAGTTAGTGATCTGTTGGCTCTCTCCTCAACCCTATCACCTTTGTTTTAATACTTGACACTACTGAATATGTTTGGCCTGGTGATGTACAGATCTTTCTTCAGATAATGCTGATGCTGCTTTTACTTTTTTTTGATAAAGTACCATTTATCATATTATATAAATTATTTATTATGTTGACTTTTTCCAACTACAAAGTCAGCTTCATGGGGATAGGATCTTTGTTTTCGA